AAAAAAAAAAAAAAAAAAAAAAAAAAAAAGGGGCACATACACAACGTACAAATTGAATTCAGTGACATATTCCAGCAAAACCAATGAAGAGCACGTGATTTGTTGAAATAGGACATACTGTAGTATTACGGTAAAACACATGAAGGCCCATCCGTGTCTGACAAGGCCCATCCCAAAATGACACGTGTCTCGGCCACGTGTCAAATCGCGGCCAGATCCTGGCCTCCTCCTCCTCAGGGGCATAACACCCTCTTCTTCCACAGAAACTGAATACTATCTGAGCCGTGGTCCATCGGACCATTAAAAAACAACAAAAAAAACTAACAAAAAAAACTCTGACGCTTTGCACCGGAACGGACCCACCCCCCTCACTTTCCCTACTCCAGGCTCCAGGGTGGCAATAGGGTTGCCTTGCTCCACTAACTCAACAGGAGCCTTCCGCTAGAACATGTAAAAAGATTCACCTCCATATTTTTTGTCTTTTGTGCATGTGTTCCTGAGTAGTGGAGCGCGCATGGCCCATAGTTCTGCACAGCATCTTACTGTACCCATCGACAGCCGACAAAACGGGTTTGCTGAAAGAGAGCAAGGGCGCAGCCGCTGAGACGTTGTTGTTGTACCGTACCCATCGGAGTCACCGGGTTTCGCACTCATGATCGATTTGTTTTTTGTTAACAGTAATCTGTGTGTGTACCATTTAGCCATAGATGGACCAGGTTCAAACTCTCATGGTTGATACCAGTAAAATGTCCGGGGCTGTGCTCCCCCGCCCCCGTTCCCCTCTCTCGTCTTTCCACACCCCCCGCCCGTGCATGATATGTATCCCGATCCGCCGATGTCGAGTATATAGGATGGCAGGGGTCGAGTCCCACTAGCTGCGTTGATGATGATGATGATCATCATCGGCATGAGGATGATAATGATGATGATGAGTGATGTTGATGGTGATGAGCGTCGCCATGATGATGGTAATGATGATGATGAATAATGATGGAATGATGATGAGGATCGAAGTGATGATGATTATGGTGGGGGTGGTTGGGAGGGTTGTCGTGATCGGATGAACTGGAGGCTTTTGATGAGGGCAGTCGGAGGGCAAAAAGGAAATGAAGATGGGATGGGAATGTTCCTGCTCCTACTGGTACTGATAATGACGATGCTGCTCTTGATGATGATGATGATGATAATGATGATGATGATGATGATGATGGCATGATGGTGACGATTGTGGTGATGATCGACGCCGTCGTCTGATGATGATGATGATGTTATGTTGGCGATGGTGGTGATGATCGCCGCCGTCGCTGAAAAGGGAGGATCATGCTAATGCTAGTCAACAGAGAAAAGGGATGATGGCAACTGAGAGAAGGGATTGATTCCAATTTGCGTGAAGAAGAGATGGTTCTTTTGTGATGGCAATGAATTGGCATTGCACGGCGATGATGCTGCGCGTCCTGAGACAGCTGACGACGGCTCGTCAGCGTAAGTAGGAGCAAGGTGTGGAAGAGGGATATGACGATGCCGACCAATAGGAGTGGAAAAAGAAAGCGTGACGAGAGGGTTGTAAATGAGCGTGGAGAGGGTGTGAGAGGGGTATAAAAGTGCGTGAAGGGGGGGGGGGGGGGGGGGGGGGGGGTTGTATAAAAGAGCGTGGAGGGGGTGTGAGCGAGCGTTAGGAGTGTG